CCTGTAAGAATCCCTTTAAAAACTGCATAAATAAAAAGTCTTATCTGAAAGGACTTTCTGGTTCCATACTGCCCTCACAAACTCAAAAGAACATTTACATTAAACTTTTCAGTAGAGGGCTATATTATATAATAAACTTATTTTTATATTATTTTATAAAAACATAAAATATATTCATACATTGTATAATACAAAAATGTACTTTCTGCATCCAATGTTCCTACAATAATTTATTTTGTTTATTTTGTTTTTGGTCAGGAATGAGCTGGGTTAAATATTGGGATTTAAAAACTTGGGAAAATAAAATTGGCTTAATTGTTGAAAGAGCTTTGTTAACTTCTTCCTTGCAGACTTCTTGTACCAAGCCTGGTTACTTCCTGAATGAATACAGGCTGCTTTTTATATATGAAACCTAACACTTCTTGGCACAACTCCAGATGTTAAATAAAAAAGCTACAAGCCACTGTTAACCTGCTTCCCTGAACAGAGTCATAGTATTTGAACTACTAAAGCAAAGTTTTCCTCTTCCAAACTTTTGATGATCTCTGTTGCAGCCTTTTTATGCATATCCCTCCCCAGCATAAAATAAAAAGAAAAAATATGAAAATATTCCAAACTAATTAGCTAACCAAACAGTAGATCACTGCCTTTCCAGTTTCCTTTGAAGACCATAAGGTCTGTGATGAATCTTTTCCTTTTTGTCCTAGTTCATGTTTTGCATTGGCCCATAACTCAAACTATTTGTAAAAAAGATTAAAGAAGGGCATCTTAACTCTCTGTTTAATTATCTGAGATTGACAACCAAACTTCATTTTATGGGCAGAAAATTTCAAAATTAGAGAATGATGACAAGGGAAGGCCTTACATGTATATTTCCCCAAAACAGATTTCTGCAATGGGGTATTTCCAAAAAGAGGGGCAGTCAGACAATACTTAATAATCATGCAGATATATAATGATATGGTTACTCCCTCATTTCTATTTTAAAAGTAAATGCCAACATCATGAATTATGCGTGGAATGCAGCTAACTATTATTCCTTCCTTCCTTCCTTCCTTCCTTCCACCCATCCATCACACTTCTACATCCCCTCCTCAATCTCACCTATGTGACCCAGGGTGTTCTGACCCACGCCCTTTTCCAACAAATCAAACACAATTCAAAAAGAACAGAAACCTTGTAATGCTTTTACAAAATAATTAACTGTGATAAGCACAAGCCTTGCCAAACTGTGCAAGACTTGCCAAAAGATAACAGACAAGAAATAATTTCCAAAATAAGAATCTTCTATCTCAGACTGGTCTTGTGGTGCAAGAGTCATAACCTCACCCTGAACATCAAAAAGACCAAAGAATTGATTATAGACTTCAGAAGATGCAAAGCAGAGCCTCTCCCACTATATATCAATGGAGATTGTGTGGAAAGAGTTCATAGTTTTAAATTTCTAGGAACTCATATTTCTGACAACCTTACTTGGTCGGTCCACATTATGACCAATGCAAAGAAGGCCCAACAGCGCCTGCATTTTCTGAGGCTGCTGAAAAAGAGTGGTCTGGGTGAGAAGTTGCTGGTTACTTTTTACCATTCTACCATTGAGAGCATATTGGCATACTGTGTAACAGTGTAGTATGCTGGATGCTCTGTAGTGGATAAGAAGATGCTCCAGAGAGTTATAAACACAGCACAAAAAATCATCGGTTGGTTGCTCTCTTTCTTCTTTGGAAGATATTGTGAAGACCAGACCCCTCTCTAGAGCATTAAAAATCTCCACAAACCATTCTCATCCTGGTCATTCATATTTCGAACTGTTACCATCAGGGAGATGTTATAGGTGTCTTAAAATGAGGACTAATAGACTGAGAAACAGTTTCTTTTCCAAGGCAATAATTGTCTTGAATCAAACAGCGCATTCGTGATCTAGCCCTATGTATATAGTGGCATTTTTAAACTATTTAACTTACTAAATGTTTTAGATAGATTTTAGATGAGGTTTACTATTATTATTATTATTATTATTATTATTATTATTATTATTATTATTAAATACTTGTAGTGTGATTATGATGTGGTGTTTGGGGCACTGTGCTGGAGTAGCTTTCAAATTTCATTGTATTCGTGGAATGCAATGACAATAAAGGTAAATTCTTAATTCTCTTCAAATACAAACTCAGGATACTGGAATGTCCACGAGGCTGTAGTTTCAAAACGTCTTTGCCTTATGCAAAGAAGGTTAGTTTCACAGGTGGCTTTTATCTTCTTGAAGGAAGGGCCATTACCTTGCAGCCTTACTCCCGAGTTGCCCATGCTGTTGTAACTGTTCTTTCCTACGGCAATCCTGTGCACACACGCACTTGGCACAGGCTCCTTGGGAACCTCCTCATCACTGCTGCCAGCCCTCACAATCTCTGAAGGCAGCAGGCCACTCCCTAATGGTCCTGGCCCCTCATCTGAGTCCTCACTCTTCTCAGCCGTCTGCACCTGCTGCCGGCTAACCACAACACAGGGTTGTTTACAATAAAAAATTACAGATCTTTTAATATTGGAGACATAAAATCACAGTCCTTTGTATATAACTGTATTTTGCAGCATTTGTATTTACTGAATACTCCTTCATCAGAACAGCTCTGTATAAAGCCCATTACACTATAATCAAGATATGAACAATAGTTAACAGATCAGATTGATACATAAATTCATACTACCAGTGTACAATACACACTTATTTCTGTCCTATTTTCTACCATTAAAAATGCCTTTCCATCATCAATGTTTTAACAAATGTTTACATAAAAATAAATATGAAATAAAATATAAATAAAAGTATCAACTGATCCACCAGAGTAAAGCAAATTTTAAAGCAAAAGCTTACATGAATTAAAAAAAATGGCTTGCTAATGGAAGGAGAATAAAAACGAACAAACTGCATGCCACAGATTAGGATTAATTGATAATAAAATTCCTTTCAGACCTTGGCCTTGTTAAGCATTCAAATTAATCAGTAGAAACACACTAAAGTGAAACCTGCATGGGACATTTAGCTTTATCTTTTGTACATAAAAGAAAATAAAAAATCGTAATTAGATTTACTATTTTAAAACAAATACTATAGATGGTTCAATGGATTACAAGAAAAAAATCCTGGAAGCTACTGAAAAAAAATACAGTATTTATTTCATTTTAAAATATTTTCCACTTTCATTTTGATGATTGGTTATCACAGAATGTGTAGATGTAGTCTACAAAGACCTCTTGAGCTTGTAAGGTTTGGACATAAAGACAGTTGAAAGTATTTACCATTTTAGTATGATACTAACAGCCTTGCACTGTACTTTTCCTGAAAAATATTTTAGTTAGTATGTAAGCATTTACATCGTGGTAAAAAAATGCAAAAGAGTGAGCCAATTTGATGTAATGGATACAAGGATGAAAAACAGGAGATTGGCATTTTTAGTCCTGTCTTACTCATGAAACCAGTTGGGTAAGATCTATCATTCCTCTCAGGCTTAGTATGAAAACAGTAGCAAACCACTTCTGAATTATTGCCCCAAAACCTAGATGGACTTTTCATGTAGTTGTCAAGGATCAGGACTGGACTCAACAGTCCACACGCATGTACTCACATGCAAATGGAATAGCAAAATGTAATCATATCCAAAAGCAACCTTACTCTAAAAACCAACTAGTACATCAACCTCTCCTGTTCATTTGCCTTTGATTACATATTACCTGTAGAAGATGTTAAGAGATGATAATACAAAATGTACAAAGATGTGCAGGTATTGGTCTTATAAAAGATGAGGATGCAAAAAGAAAGATTCTTGCTTGGATGATTCTTAAAATACTTGAAATAAATGTGCGCATAGGTCTAAAAAAAGGGGGCAAAGTGAACAATATATTGTGGAATCTAGGCAACAGGAGCACAGGTGTCAATGAATTGAAATGTTATACCTTTTATATACCTTTATACCTTCTCAGACATTTCAGGGTATATTTAAGTGATGTTCCATTTATGAGCAACATATCAATTGACATGGCGCAAACCATACATTTAAAATGGTTGCCAGCTGGCAATCAGCGAACAACTTCCTTATTCAGTTCAACTCATGGGGCAGCTTCCAGCATCCCGAAGAATGCCCACATATGGGATACCTTAATCCAATCTATTTCAAGAAAATAGTTTTACTTCACCCAGAAAGATTTCCCAGAAAAGAAGCCTTGAAGCTTCCTCCTCTCCCTTGCCATTACTGAATAGCTATAATAAGATCCCAATTGGCAAACATTCCTCTTCCCATTAGTGTACTGTACAAAGAAGGAAAGGGAAGCAGAGAAAACAGAGTTTTAACAGTGACGATAATAAATGAGAAAGCTAGACCTGCTCTCATAGAATTATTATATCCTTTCAGGTTCCTTTCACTTGTGTGACTATGTTGTTTCACTACAGAAAAATATTCATTGTTTTGGTTAAATTATTAGCAATTCCCATCTTTTTCTCTTTCTTTCTCTGTCTTGTTTATATTTAATTCCAAGCCTTTTGGGAAGGATTTTCTTTCAATTGTCTGTCAGCTCTACAGTGATGTAATTTTCTTCCCATTGTAATCAGAAGAAATTGTATAAATAAGCTGAAACAGCTTAGGACATATAGATAACTGCAGACTTTAGACTGCATTTTAATTGCTCAATGTATTATAACATACTGCATGTTCATATTAAGTTGCCCTTTTATAATGAGGAAGAAAGGGCATAGCACAAAAACAAATATTTCAATCTCCATTTGCAGATACTATAAAATGTTATAGATCGTATTCTCCATTTCCATGTTCAAACAATTCAATAGAAATAGTTATTTTCTACAAATTTGCCTTTGTTAAATTGCTTGCCTATGTTCATGTCCTCATAATTAAGTTGCATTTTTTTAATGATCAGGAGGGAAAAGAATATGCTGGTATGCTTGTGTCATGCAGTAAAATACAACTATTATTGAAAGACTAATTAAGGCCTACCTTGTCTTCGACTCTGTTCAGCCGAGCACCAACTGTATTATTCCCTCGATCTTTAGTTTTTTCTGCATAGAAAGGACACTTCTAGATGAATATCAAGTGTTACAATAGTATAGAATGATGCCGTGCAATTGCATTTAACTAGTCTAGCAGAGCTATTTAATTGAACTCTGCTGACAGATGGGTAATTTTATTACATTAACAGTAGTTTTTTTTTTTTTTAAAAAAATCCTTTATTAGCATCAATTCAAGCCTTGCCTTGAATGGACTCAAGTTCAAACTGGATCTTGAGATCATGTTATGCTTTAAATCAGAAGAATTAGCGCATTGGGTTTAATAAATTTAAATTAAATTTAACACTAATTTAGCTGAAAAGTACAGTAGAGAATGAGTGAGATTCCATGTGGTGTAATGGTTAAGGTGTTGGACTAGGAGCAGAGAGACCCTTATGTGCCTAAGAGAGATCTATCCTCTCTTAGACACATAAGTTACTGCTGAGTAACTCTGAGCCACTCACATTCTTTCAGCCCTAGACTGGGAAACTGAAAAACAATCCATAATGTAGCAATGGCAAACCCCTTCTATTTGTCCTTAAAATTGTCAAGATTGATTCAAAACCCTGAAACAAAGTACAGAATAAGAGTAATACTCTTGAAGTATGTTGGTGTGCTTATTGATGATGTTGATCATTATCATCATCCATGAAATGTTAGTATACATTCATGGATGTTATAGAATATTTATTTGGATTCTGATTTCCCACATAATTTTCACTGTAAATTATGAAAACTATAATGATGACCACAACTCATTCAATTGCTATATCCAGTAGGGATTCATGTACCACCTAAAATCTTGGATGTATTCTACAGAATCCCCAAAATTATGTTATTGAACTATAACTTTCACAATGTTAATTGGAACTTTTAATGTGGCAGAAGCCAAAAATTACTAAAAGCATGAGAATAATTGTATTAACTATTTCAATTTCTTTTAAATATAATTCATTCGGTGCTTTTGATTCTGTTTTGTTTTTTTTGTCATGGGTTTGTTGGATGAATTGCTACTTCTATGAGGTTTTTTTTTTAGGAAAAGTACTTGACTTGTAACATATTTAAGATACATTCTGTGCTTTTCTAGGATGGTGTCTTACCTGAGACAGAAATAAATAGTGATGGCTTCCCTATAGATTGGTCCAATCTAGAGAGAGAGAAAAATGTATAAAATAAGAGGCCAAAAGTTTTCTCCCCACGTGAAACTTGGGCAGCTGAAAACAATTGTGATCATTTTGTATGTTTCTACCAATAATGAAAGAAGGTCTTACATAGTTATCGGTTTATTTGCAAAATATGCTTTGACCTTTTTATTGTGATTTTTAGAGATATTGTATGTGAACTAAAAATGGCTCCATGAAGAAGCTATTCATTCACTAAAGATTTAGTGCTGTCTTTTAGTGTTACTAAAAGCATGAAAATAATTGTATCAGCTATTTCAATTTCTTTTAAATAT